TGACCGCCAGATACGTTAATTAGATATTTGTGAATATATCATGATCTGACTATTACACACGATTACCAATCGTTGCTTGCTAAAAAGATCTTATTGTGAACATGTTATAGTCCGATCGCCGAATACGACAATTACGTTAGTTTTATTTTAACACCACATCATGTTCTGACTGTTGGACACGATTACCTGCTGTGACATGAGAAAGACTCTGCTTCTAATAAACATATACTCCGCACGTATTGTCCATTTATACAGTCCACTCATCTTTAAGAAGTATACCACTTGTTACGATATCGAAGAATATTCTACAAATATCCAGTTATTAGTTTACATCCATTAAACTATTATAATAATATTGTTATGGGCGCAAACATATATGTATGTTATATTTGAGTTATATATAATTTATCATATTAATTATATTATTATAATATATTATAATATATTAATATACATAATACATAATTTTTTAAACTTAAACTTAAATTAATAATAATAATAATATATGAAAATGATGAAAATAATGAAAATAATTAATATATAATACATATATATTAATAAATTATATTTTAATTATTTTATTAATAATTAAAATAGTAATTGCTTGCAATAATAATTAAGATAATTATTTGCAAAATTTATTTTGATGAGAATAATTGCAAAAGATTTAAATTTCTATTGATTCTACTGATATAAGTATAAAGTTCATAAGAATAAATGTAATATTTTATTACATTTATTATACATAAAAAGTGGCAAACAAAGAAAAAAGTTCATAAAGATAAATCATTGTATGATATTTTGACAATCATTAGTTACAAAATATACGTAATATAAAATTTCGTTTAATTATTAATTAATTAAAATAAAATAATGTAATATATCATAAAATATCTATTATATCATATCTATTGCTTTACTCCTCTGTTTATTAATCGAACGAAATCGTAATAAATTTTATAAATGTAAGTAATCAATAATGGAATGCATAATTCCATGGCAGTATATCGCAATTGAATGCATGATTTAATAGCAGTTACGATAACATGGTTTATTGTTTCTGATTAATGAAAAAATATTACAATCGATTTTTTCAATAATATTTAACAATTTGAAAGTTATATTTGAAGAATGTATGATGTGGTATAATAGTAATGCATTATATTTCGAAAATATAAAGAAAATGCAAATGTATATTTATTGTTAATAGTCTATTAAAATATAAAATAAATAACTAAACAGAAATTTATTAATTTCTTATTTATGATATAGAATTAGAATTAGTTATTTTGCATTGAAATTGAAAAAAATGCAATTTATCATAGTAATAATGATAGAATAATAGAATAAATATAAAAATTAAAATAGAAATTTATTAAAAATATCAAATCTATAACAAATGTTAAATTATTTAAGTATAAAGAATCATAAAAGAAAGAAACAAGAAAAATACAATTAATATATGATCTCTATTGCTAATTTGTTAAAATGGAGAAAATTTAAATAATAATAAAAAATAATAAAAAAAATATCAATTGTAAAAAAAATAATATAAATAATACAATATTGATAAATTGATAGTTATAGCATATAAATTATAGCAATTAATATAAAGATAAAGAAAAATTTTTTTACATATTGAATATAGGAAGACACTGGAACGAATGAATATTTAACAATTAATGATACAATCAATTTTTCAAGTACTTATTATTGTTTTATTATTATCTGAATAAATATGTTATCGCTTCTCGAATTCTCTATAATTAATCAATAATGTACAGAATAATAATTTCTATTATATATAATATAATATATTTATAATATAATATAATTGGAATTATATATATAATTGTTATAATATAATTGGAATAATAGTAAGAAATTATTCTATTATTTAATTATTATAAATCAATTGTGTTTTCAAACAAAAATAATTGGAAATTGATTGGAATAGTTTTGATTAAATAAAATAATAAAATAATAATATTTAATATAATAAATAAAAATATTTGTAGAAATTGTATAATTATAATATTGTAAAGTTTAAAAAATTATGTATTATGTATATTAAATTATAAATATTTTAATTTCTGTATTAAATTTAATTTTAAGTAAATTTTATTACATGTATTAAATTATATAACATGAAATAATATAAATAATTATTTTAACATTACTTTTAAAAGTTATATTCATTATTATTATAATTATTATTATTCATTATTATTATAATTATTCATTATTATTATAATATATTAAACAAATATTTAACTATTATTTTATTTAATGAAAATTATTTCAATAATTATTTTCAATAGTTTTAGTTGCAAAACTCATATTTTAATTTGAAAAAGTTCTTTATGTCAACTTTTTTAAAAAAAAAGTTGATTTAAAATACTATGATATAAATTTTAAAAAATTACACTATATATATACTATATTTGTTCTGTCAGATTTAAAAAATTTTAAGCCTTCCTAGAATAACTTCCAAAAAACTTCATTAAAACTTTAAAATATAATCAATATTATACAGGAATTATACAGGATTGTATATTTTAATTCTATAAATCTTATAAATACAAAAATCGATATAACGTCATTATATTGTTATATAATAATTCATACTTATCGGTTTCCTTATTTGATTATAGTTATAGATATAGTTATAGATATATAGATTAAACTTGCTTCTAATAAGTATTCTGAGCTGTTATGCCATCAAATCTTCAATTTATTAAATGAATAAGTGATTAATTTAAATTTTTAATATTAAAATTATGGACTTATAATGAATATCTAAATGTATATAGATATAATTATAGTAATTGAAATAATGAAAATAAATAGGTATATCTGTAATTATTTTTCCAATAAAGAAAAATATTAATTTATCAAAAAATGTTTCTATATTTAATATAATATTTTATATTATATTTTATAATATATTTTGTATTTTATATAATATTTAGAATTTATATATTTAGAATATAGAATTTATAATAATTATAAAACAAAATATTTGAAATTCGTCATTTAGTAATTTTAATTTTAGTATTTTAATATTAATAAAATAATAAATAATAGATAATATAATTTAATTCTAATATTAAGTTAAGTCTCGATATTATTTTCAATAGTTTTTACAAATGACATAGAATAAATCAGTTGTTAATGATGTAGAATTTATTTTCATGTTTATAATAACATAAGATATAAAAAAATATGCGTTAAATAGTTGTATAAATTGAATTGATAAACATTTCACAAACATGATATTGAAGTTTAGCATTCTTTTTTCTTTAATTGAAACTGTGTTCTTGACCTTGAAGGAACAATTATATAGATTGCGATAAATAAAATCAATAAAAGTAATTATATAATATGTGACCACTTCTATCATAGCAGATAATATTGTAATATAATATATGTATACTGTTCTTTGCTCTATGATATTAATGACTTAATTGAATTATCTAACTGACATTTAAAATTAACGATGCATTATAGATAAATATTCCATTTATATTATTAATTATCCAAAAATATATATATTATTAATTACCCAAAAAACAAAATTGCTTGAAATTGTTTTATTTTTAAGTATTTTTATTTATAATGTATATACTTTTATCTATATTAATAAATATTTTATATTCTGAATGAAAATTATAACTTGTATTAATATATATAATATTTACTTAATATTTATTTTATTTTTATTTACAATTTTCACATTCAAAAGAAATTGATTTATTGTATTTAATATAATAATTTACATATATAGAATATACAGAATAAATTTATGAGAAAATTATAATTTCAAAAACATTTTTATTACGATATTTTAATAATGATTTTTAATTATACAATATTATTATGAAATATTAAATTATTTATTCTTCGCTTTTAAATATTCAAGGTATTTGGATTATTAAATAAGTAAATCTTTGAACAATAAATATCAATCATTCGAAAATTTACATTCTGATTGTATTGATTAATTCTTATCTACACATGTGATATATATTCATTTCAATTATTTCTTATTAAATTTCTTAATATCATATGGATTTTATTATATTATATTTATTATATTATATTTATAAATTTTACAATTTAATTTTCTGTATATTTTCAAAAAATATTATTATTTAAGAAAGAAGATAGATAACTTAGAGATAAGTTAAAAAAAAAATATGAAATAATAAATTCTTTTTTACTAGATACATCTTCAAATTAGTATAAAAAATTATTTATAACTAGAAAGAAATTTAAATAAATAAAAAAAAAAAACATACAAAATATAAAAAAATTATAAATGGAATGTACATTGAATTAAATTTTAATATTTAATTTTTCTTTTATAGTGAAAAAAAATATATGAACTATATAAAGTCATAAATTTATCATAAAATATCTTTTATTATATTTATTTAATAATAGGACCAAAAAGAAGATTAAAAAAATTAAATTTATAAAAAAAATATATTAATATGAAAAATATATTACAAAATTTTATTTTGTATTTTAAAATTTCTTTTTAAAAAAATGAAATTAATAAATTGTATTATATTTAAATTCTGATTTAAAAAATGATAAAATGTAACGATTATATGACATAATACCAAATAAAAAAAATAGATAGTCTTTCACTCACATTCACTAGCAACAGGAATATGCTCATTAACTTTTTCTAGACCATAATAAAATAGTTCCTGTCAATGTTAAATTATTCCATGATTTATTTCTATTGGATTTATTCAAATCCAAATTAAATTAAATCAAACAAGTATATTCATTTTATTTCTTTTTGATATTCTATTTTGATAAATAGATAAATAAAATTATAAATCTATTTTTTAATATTAATAAAAGATAATAAGATAAATAAAACTGTTTTAAAAAATAATTTAAAAAAATTATTATTTATATTAAAAAAAAAAATTATTTTTAATAATTATTTTAAAATGATTTTTATGATCTATATTTTATTTTAGGGAATGGCCTTTTCTCTTCAAGAGAGACAAATATTAGGTATTCATGGTCTTCTTCCAGCAGCTGTGAAAAGTCAGGATGAACAACTAGAACTCTGCCGTTTAAATCTGGATCGTTATGATAATGATTTATCAAAATATATATATCTCATAGGATTATTAGTATGTATAAATTATTTCATTTTTTTTTTTCTATCAATATTTTATTTTATACATATATCTATAATAATTTGGAAAGATATTGCTTGAAATATAATAAAATAAATAGGACTTCAAGTAAAATTATTGTTTTTTATTAATTGTTTTAAAAATATATATATTATTTTTTTTTTTATTAAATTATGAAATTTTATTTTATTGAATTAGAAATGTAACCATATATTATTTATATTTTTATAGGATAGAAATGAAAAGCTTTTTTATCGTTTATTGGAACAGAATGTAGAGAAAATGATGCCTTTGGTGTATACACCTACAGTAGGTTTAGCATGTCAGAAATTTGGTCTGGTTTACAGAAGACCACGTGGTCTTTTTATATCTATACACGATAAGGGTTATGTTTATGACATTTTGAATAATTGGCCTGAACATGATGTAAGGGCCATTGTTGTTACTGATGGTGAAAGAATATTGGGATTGGGTGACTTAGGAGCATATGGAATGGGAATACCAATTGGAAAACTATCTTTATATACTGCTTTGGCTGGAATTAAACCTCATCAATGTTTACCAATTACTTTAGATGTTGGTACAAATACTCAGGTTGGTGAAAAAATTTCTAAATAAATTAATTATGCAATAAAATAAAATAATTATCAATTATTAACAATTAGTAAAAATAAGATATAGTCTTTTTATTTACAGATTATATTAATTATATAAAGACAATTTTATTATATTTTATTATATTTTATTATATAATAAAATATAATATGATATAAAATATAATATATTATTAAATACCAAAGTTTAATAAAATTATTAAATATTTAATTCTTGTATTTAATTCTGTTTTAGTCATTACTTGATGATCCTCTCTATATTGGCCATAGGCATAAGCGTATTACTGGTAAAGAATATGATGATTTTCTGGACGAATTTATGGAAGCTATCATTAAAAGATATGGACAGAATACTTTAATTCAGTTTGAAGATTTTGGAAATGCTAATGCATTCAGATTACTTAATAAATATCGTGATTATTACTGCACTTTCAATGATGATATCCAAGGAACTGCTTCAGTTGCTGTAGCTGGTTTACTGGCATCTCTTCGTGTTACGAATACAAAGTTATCAGAAAATACAATTGTCTTTCAAGGTGCTGGAGAGGTAAATAACATTAATATTTTATATTTGATTTAAATTTTTATTAATGATGCATAAATCCATAATAAAAATCATAAATATGAAAATGATATATATATTAAAATATTTCATTTATTATTTGTAGGCTTCATTAGGTATTGCATGGTTATGTGTTATGGCAATGCAAAAAGAAGGTATTAGTATAGAAGAAGCCAAAAGTAAGATCTGGATGGTTGACTCAAAAGGATTAATTGTTAAAAATCGCATAAGTGGTGGATTAACAGAGCATAAATTACATTTTGCTCGAGATGATAAGCATATAGATTCTTTATTAGAAGTTGTCAAATATGCAAAACCTACAGTACTTATTGGTGCTGCAGCAGTTGGTGGTGCTTTTACCACAGAAATATTAGAAGAAATGGCAAATAACAATGAAAAACCTATAATATTTGCTCTCAGTAATCCCACAAGCAAAGCAGAATGTACTGCTGAACAAGCATATATTGCTACAAAGGTATTATCTTGAATTATATTTTTGAATTATGAATTTTCTATTTTAATAATTTAAATATTAAATTTTTCATTTTATTGAAAAATATAACGTAAATTGAAAAATATGATAAAATACACTGAAAATATTTAATATTCATTTTTAATTAATTACAGGGAAGATGTATATTTGCTAGTGGATCACCATTCGCACCAGTAACATATGATGGTAAAACTTTTTATCCTGGCCAGGGAAATAACAGTTATATTTTCCCTGGTGTTGCATTGGGTGTGATATGCTCTGGTATGCGCATCATTCCTGAAAATACATTCCTTATTGCTGCAAAATCATTGGCCAATATGGTTTCTAATGAAGATTTAGAAAAAGGAAATCTGTATCCACCATTGCAAGATATTCAAAAATGTTCATTAACGATAGCTGTTGATGTGATGAAATATGGTTATGAAAATGGTAAGATATTTCTAACATTCCTATATAATTATAGATAATTATTATATAAACTAGAAAGATTTATTTCTTCTTTATAGATATTGCTACAGTTCATCCTCAGCCCAAAGACTATAAAGAATTCATTAAAGCACAATTATATGATACAACTTATAAACCATCAATTCCTCCAATATATAATTGGCCTAATTTGTAATTTTGACTATCATCGTGTTATATACGAGGTTTTAATAAAATCTGAATAGATCGATTGTTTGATGAACGCGATATTTATATAATGGTGTATTTTTTTTTTTTATTTGTCATGATATTGTAAGAATCTGTTGAGCAGGTTCGAATAATAACTATTATATGTATATGTATGAGCTATGTATGAATGTGTATTGTAAAAAAGTAATTTGAACAAAGATATACATATATATATCTTATTATTGTATAAACGTATCGATTTGAGTGTTTTAAATTATTGGGATGAAAAGTATGATTTACCAATGAAAAATAAATTTCAAGTGATTATTTGAAAGAAATGTGTTTATTGCTACTCGAAACAGTATTTTTTCACAGTATTCAGATATATTCCTTTTTCTTTTTGTACGAGCAGCAGGATGTGATAAGATTCCGTCATGTTGTATGTATAAGAACTGAAAGAGGCAAACAAGATGTACATAAGTGGTAAGAGTTCCATAATTTTTAAGAATACATTCCTGTATTTAAACAAAATAAAAGCAGAGATGTTCTTAGGCACGTAAATCCGCATTTCTTTTTTAAAGATATGCGACATACGCATAAAACTTCCAGTATTAAGTGTATTTAAAAAACAATCTATCTGGCTTAGCCATTTAATCGAATCGACGAAACTTAAAACACACATGATTGTCTGCAACATCGTAAAACAATGCAACGAAATTCAGATATATACCGAACCCAAAAAAAAGAAAATTTCATATTAGCCATATCCTAAAGCATCGAAAAAAATACATTAGCACTTTCTAAGACAAATCGTATGCTATATCTTATGATTTTTGAAAACGTTAATATGTGTATTTTACGACGGTGAATTGGCATTCATTGTCTCTCTCACACACTCCCTTTCTTTCTCACTCTCACTTTCTCTTCTTTGTTAATTTTATTTTAATATCATCAACACGTACGCATATATTTACTTGTATCTTAATGCTAAATCTGATTCTTACTACTAAACACGCCATGGTCATCAATCTATAACAAACAGAGTATAAACTGCGACCCTTTTTTACTCCAAACTTTGTTGCATAATAACATTGTAATAAAATTAAGGATAAAATGTACAGAAGAGCATTTAGAAAATGTTTACAATGTCGGGACGCTGTTACGCTACACTGAGCAGACACACTGGTCTTTCTACGAACCAGTAACAGGGACCTACATTTTGTCAAGTTGATTTGGTTATTTACCAATTTTAATGTCTCGTAAATAGAGATAAGAAAACAACTTTGCACGTTTTTATGCAAAGATTCTTGATGATCTATTATAAGTTATATCCGAGTTCCACAGCACCATTGCACTACTGCTTTTTCTTTTATTTTACGTCGTTAATGAATAATACGATTTACGATTTAATCAATATCATCAATTGTTGTTAACAAATTTAATAATATTTCCTAATAAAATTTTTTTTCTTTTTTATCTAATTGTTTAATTTTATTTAAATATCGGTTGACGTCATCGAATCTTATTATTGCCGGAAAAGTACAGTCTTATGAGACTTAAGGATTTGAAAATAGCGACGTAGGGCAGTAGTGTCATTGACAGTGGAGTGTCTGTCCAGCACGGAAGTCGGTCCCTTTCCTAGCTTCATCGTGAGAGAGAATGTGATCGTTCGTGACTTTGTTGGGAATCACCAGCTGCTCGAAGATCTGGTAATCTTTGATGTGCAGGTAACGCATCAAAAAAGGGATGTGCCAGTGAATCCTTCAATGTTATCCTCTGTGATGGTTCATATTCTAACATTTTTTGAATGAGATCGAACAATTGTCGATGTTCTTCGTCATCAGAAAGCATACAACGCTATATATATAAAAATAAAATATATTAGATTATTCGTTATAAATTAGATTTCTATTAATTTATAAGCAAATGATGATTGTATATGTACTTAGGTAGATAATATTACTTACATGTAAAGGTTTGCAATTATCTCGAACGTATCTGCCTGCTGAGCTTTTTTCATCCCAATCTAATTTGCCATGATAGAAGTACTTAGTTTTAGTTTTACGAGCCATACGGTGTGGGATTGTGCCAAGTATACGTTCCATCATCGCTAAATGTTCACGGTTGTCGTGTGTTTGGAATAAAGTAATACCCAGGTACAGTTCGAAGAGAATGCAGCCAATCGACCATACGTCACAAGGCTGAGACCATCCTAATTCTATATAATATATATAATGAATAGTCTAATAAATAAAGTTTTTTTTGCAAAATGTTGCAGTTGATTTTATAGAAATTACTTACCTAAAATTACTTCAGGCGCTCTGTAATGTCTTGTGCTAACAATCGTGCTATGATGTTCATGATCAAATGTGGCACTACCAAAATCAATGAGTCTAATGTCTGTCCGTTTTACACGTCTAATATCTCTTCGCTTAAAAAGAAGAAACTTCTTTTAAACACTTCAGAGCATAATACTTAATTATATATTATATTTATAGTTGATATAAAAGTGTCACTTAAAATCATATAGCATTAAATAAATTAATATTATTGTATTGAAATATTATTAATTTTAAAAATCACTTTTATTATTTTAATATTTTAAAAATTAATTAATTTCATTTTATTAATCAAAAAGTAACATATACATAAATTTTAAATAAATTAAATAAAAGAATTAAATAGAATCTTTAATTTAATATATATTATTGACATTGCATTTTACTGATTAAATATATATAAAAATAAATTTCTTAAAATTTAATGATATATTACTACATTATTAATTTTCAATTCCAACCAATTTTCAATGTTTAATTAAATTTAATTTTCAATTAAAATATTTCATGAAAAAAATTTTTATAAGTATCAAACTATATTATTCCAAGTAACACGATAAATTGTTTTATGTTTATATGGAAGAAGTTCATCTCTCACCTTTTTGCTACTATATATACTATCATAATCGGAATCTACGAATAATATATTTTCTGGTTTCAAATCAGTGTGCGTGAGTTTGTTATCATGTAAGAATTTGACGGCATAACATAATTGATATCCAATGTGCCTGACATGTTCCAATGGATAAGGCTGATAACTGTTATCTCTCTATAAATATAAAATAGTTAATATATAGCAATAATGCATTATTTTATACAATATATAATATATAAAAATATTATGTTATTAAATATAAACATACCAAAAAATCAAATACGCTAAGTCCAAGCATTTCGAAGGCGATACACATGTGTCCGTGATAATTAAACCAATCGAGCATTTTTACGCACAAGCTAAAAGTAATAATGAAATATTAAATGAATGCTGAAAACAATTTAAAAATGTAATATAAGAATCAAATAAAGAATTGTGATACATGTCAAAAGAAGGCAATTCTTTTAAGCATTATAAATTAATTTTTTTATTTTGATATTTATATTTTGAAATTTTATGATAAAAATTATATAAATTTAATTATATTTTGAAATTTTACAATAGAAATTATATAAATTTAATTATATTTTTAAATATTTCTAAATATAATAATTTTTAATTTTTATGTGAGAACTTTATTATTTTTAATAAAATGAGAAAGAATTATAATTTTATTGGATTTTTATTAATTTTTCAGTTTTCGAATTATGTTTTACTGCATAAATACTCTATTAAGCTGAATATTATTGTGTGTTTTACTTCCTGCAAATATTGCTTTTTATAATCATTATGAATAATGAGTATCATTGTATAAAATATTGTTAATATAACAGAACTGTGCAATAATATAGTTTTCAAATATAAATATAGATGTTTATATTATTTTATACTATACAAATTTTAATTATTAAATTAATTACTAAAATAAGGTACCAGTTTTAATAATAACTAGTAACGATATCTCAATATTCTTAAATAATATAAAATAAAATATAAAATGTTAACTGAAAAGTTTCTTAAAAAAAAAAAAAAAAAAAAAAAAATATCGAAAATGAAAATTTCGATGTAAAAATTTTCAATTTATTTTTACTTGAAGAATCACCCTCAGTTCATCAATCCAGTCCCCACTAAGTCTAAAAAGCCACGCAAATACTAACTGTTGGCCTTCCGGATCCTTGGTCGCAATTTTCTCTAAAGCGTTTATTTCGAGCTTCGCGGCTTCCCTATACTTCTCTACGTTCTTGATGATTTTCAGCGCCATCACGTGATCCCTGCAAACGTCATTGTACTTTTATTAGACGACACTGTTCACGGACCGTCAATAATCCACATGGCCGGAAGCATCATCGCATATACATAAGTACAAGGCACAAAAGCACGGCTGTTTGAAATGCATCAAAGAGTGGGGAGGAAAAATAAAAAAAGAACAATGGCGTTCAAAAAAATTCTTCCCTAATCGACATCTCGACGAGCGATTTTGCGACAACTTATTCGCACGTCGAGAAGGCTCGGCCCGTAAAACAAAGTACAAGGCCATCCTATTATTGCGACTACTTGCGCATCATTTTGTGACACTGCGGCATAGCTATTTCTGATCCTGCTATGACTCGAGTCGCGCCACCACGCACCTTTGTGATTTTTTTTCTGGTGCAAATTATCATTCTGGCTGGATCGAAAATTGAGAAGAAAAAAGAAAAATATTGCAGGAGGAAAAATCAGAAGGAATTTTGAAGGAAAGGAAAATACACTAGGATAAGTAATAATTAGTAATAAGTAATAAAATCGCTTTACCATTAAAAGAGCTAATTCTTTTCTATTACGTTTTAGAATTTTTGTTTATTGAAAATTAATTATGAAAAAATCCACGGTAAAAAAAATATAAAATTTATTTTTAAAATTGTTTCAATATTCTAAAATAAATAGCATGTGTATGCATTACTTTCATATCAGAAATTCGATTATAAAATGAGCAATATATTATTTGATTTAACATAATAAAGATCTATCATTTTATTATTCAGTTTATTATATATCAGCTTATTATTAGTTGCAAAAATAAAATATTAAATATCAGAATTTTTAAGAAAAATTAGAAGAATGTTTTTTGAAAATTAATCTTAGAATGTGTTGAAAAAATCTTTTAAAAATAAATGACATAAATTATGTGTGAAATAAAATCAATTAAAAATGAATAAAATATGCAATTCATCATGATTCATCATCATGAAAGAAGAAGATAATGTTTAATTGTTTCAATA